TTGTTAATACACTACCATATTCCTATGTAATTTTTTTTAGTAATATGCATATGTGCCTCTTGTTTTTTTTCTTTGCTTACTTTAAAGCTGTATGCATCTCTTTTGTTCTGACCTTTGTAACATTTCTGAATTTTGATTTACGTTCTGTGTTCTGAATCTCACTGCCTCTCTTCCAACTTCTTGTCTCCTCTTTGTGCTTTCATTCTCAATTGCATTGTGGTTTTGGGTTTTTTGGGGGGCTTTTGGGATTTTGTTGTGTGGTTTTTTTTTATTGTTTGGTTTGTTTTTTTAATAATTAACAGGTCAGATTTTTTCCCCATAATATTGTTTTGAGGGTTTCACGTAAAAAGTTCTTAAATAGTTAAGGAATTTAAACAAAAGGTATAGACAACTATTGTCTTAATTGATTTGACTAAATTTCCAGCTTTTTGAAGTTGTCCTTTTAAAGTGCAAATCGCTATGTATTGGAATGATGGTTTACTATAAATAAATGCTGATGAATCAGTTGTCTTATTTTCTATTGCAATTGGTCTACAATATCTACATATCTATACCTAACTACTGCCCTGGCTAGTACTTATTTAGTCTACTGAGATCTAGCTTACAAATTGATATTCTCAGATTAGGGCTGAAAAGTTGATAACTAGGTATGTTGGTTTTTATTTTCCTCCTTCGGGGCTCTTGCTATGTTGTTTTTTTTTTTTTTAAGTTCTTTAATTTATGTAATAGTAAAGATGGATTGTAGCCCTTCTTTTCTCTTTACTACCCTCAAAATTACTTGACTTCTAGTTAGTGGTGCAATCTTTACTGCTTTGACTAGATACGTGTGTAGGGCTGAATTATGTGGTGAGTACTAAAGGGTGTGTTTTGAGCTGTGCTGTTGCAGGGAAAAAAGTATTGTTTGAAATGCTAGGCTCTATGTCAGTGGCAGTCCAGAAATGCATCCCTATCTCCTCCTGAAGATCTTGCATTCCTGTTTTTTAAAGGGGAGAATGTGTCTTTGGCTAACCCACATTGCTAGTCATCCACTAAAGTCCTCTCTTGGACTATCAAGTTCTCTAATAGCCTTATCTCAAGGAGCCTGGTAGCGACTTAACCATTACAAGTACTTTCAGTTTTAAGGCAAAAAGATGATGTGAGGATCTAAGTGGATTTTTGGAGTTTTTTTACAAAGCTTGAAATTAAACTGTTGTGTTAAACTGTTAACCAATAAACTATAATTACAATTTAAATTTAGGACTCAAAATATTTGCTTACAGAAGGGAGGATGAAAATGCCAGAAAAGATGAAAATAAAACTCTTTAGGTGCTGAGACAAAACTAGTGAAATTTGACCATGCTGAAAACTGTATAGTCAACTCTTTCGGGGTTTTTTTTTTCTAGTTTTAATTTCTGTGCTTGTTACTCTTAGCATAAAAATGACACATCCATATTCTGATTTTTGTGAGAGGAGAATAATGTTTCAGAGAATAATGTTTCTTAAATATTGCTTTACTTTTAGAGCTAACAATTGTGAAATGGTAGTAAGTGTGTAACAACCTCTGCATTTAAAAAGTTATTCCACCCTTGCTTCAGTACTAAGGGTTTTCTTTCTTCTTTCTGTTTTGGGGTTTGGTTTTGGGGTTTTTTTTTTTTGTTGGTTGGTTGGTTTGTTGGGGTTTTTTTAATTTATTTTGGCTAATTCCTCACTTGCTATAGAGCCTTCTGAGATAGAGAAGATATTTTACACTTTTTAAATGTTATATTTTGTAAAAAATTTAAAACTTTTTTTTCTGAATTCTTACACTAACACTCAAAAGATGTTTTTATTTGTATAGGTCACCAGTAACATTGTAAGAGTTAAATGTATGGCTGCTTTAATCATGAGGAACGTATCTAAGAGAAAGTTCTAAAACATTGGGATCTTCATCCCTTTTTTTCTTTTCTAATTCTGTTATTTCTGCAACTTTTCCACTGGCCCTGCTCTTCAGCTGCTGTGAGCTGTCAGACGCTGAAATATAGATGATGAAAATATAGAAAGTGGAATTTAGCAGAGGCAGCCATGTTAATTTCTGTTCCATTTGAAATGCAGGAAAATATCATCTGCCAAATGGAAAAGGACAATCGGTGGGAAAAGAAATGTTCTTTTCAAGCTTCTAAGAGCAGTGACAATGGAGAGAAAAAATACTATAAAAAGTAGGCAGCTCCTTTTTCAAGATTTTATTTTCAATGTATTATGCATGATTAAGTGTACACAGTTGCTCTTTTGGAGTCATGAATGACTGAATACTACATCACAGGGCTTTTACTGTCTTTACTGCATTGCACTTTGCATTTGGGGGGGAATAGGGCTCAGCTTCATGGCAGTTTTGCCAGTCTTTAGTGTAGTTTTTGAATACATTCATACTTCCCTTATTTGCCTTTTTTAATGTCAAGCATTGCACATAAGATGTTCTGCTGTTGCTATGCAACTGCTAAATCCAATATTTAATATTAATAAAAACCGAGTGGCATTAGCATCACTGAGAACAGTGGGCTAGCAAAATATGATTGTACAATATCCAAGCTGTAAAACTTGGCAAGGACTTCAGTGTGCAATTGCATGCATGGCAAACTGTGGGGCATGAGTCATTGGCAGTTACTATTTTAAGCGTCGTGAGTTTGAGTAAAATTTCTGAGCTTTTTTAATTTTTATTTATATATATATATGAGAAATACTTTTTTTTAAAACAAAAAGCTAAAGAATGAGGTTGGTTAGCTGTTTTCTCAAAGGTTTCATTTCAGATACAAATTCTGAGGGGTCACTACCCATAAAAGAGTCGACATTATAAACCTATGGGTCAATACCCTGATTCTCCTATTTTTCTTCTAGGTCAGGTTGGTCGGCCCTTTCCCACTGCTCCTGCCACTTCCTGAAGCCTGAATTGGCTTTTTTTGGAGGCAGTGCTACTTCTCTGCCTGACAAGGTGCTGTTCAATGGGATGTTTTTCCAGTTTCTCCTCTTCCACCTTGTTTTCTGATCTCTTCCCTATTTCTCTTTAGCCTTGACTGTTACTTCACTGTCACTTTGGTCCTTTCTGACATTAGATTTTTAGTGTCAGCCTCTGATAGGCATTAGCTCAAGGATGGTGTTGTACCCCAGCAATGCTTTGGCCATCTAATTTGTGTTACAGGCTGCAAATTCTGTAGGGTCCTGCATCTGAAATCTGAAGATGTTAGTGCACTGTCACTCTTGCAGACACCCAGAGGGGTATAATGCTACTTGTCCTTTCTTTTTGAAGACTGCTGTCCAAAAGATAATTTTGATATTAGATCTGTACAAAGTCAGAGTTATTTTAGAATTACTGCTCTTTTGCAATGTAATAACTGATTTCCTTCATAGCATGTGATCATTTAGATTTTGACTGGTTTCTTAAAATGGCTATTTCAGGTAGTTTATCTGTCCCTGATTCACCCATGCAAATTTCTCTAAATTTAAAACTGTACTTTTGTGTCTTAGTTGTTTGGTTTTTTTTTAAATTTCTTCTTCTGCCTCTCAAAGCAAGTGGGAGAAGCTGCCCCTAGCTATATGCAAACTGTTATTAAACCTACAAAGCAAAAGTAGTAAGGGTGTGGGGGAAATAGTTGTAGTCTTGGGTTTTCTGATCATACTGGGAATACATTTTTATAAGCAGGTGGAATTTGTCTGTCCCCCTTAAAATAGTCTTTGTACTTTCCATATTCACTCTGCTAACCTCTCTTCTCACAGTACTGGGTAGTTAATAGCTCTGTAGATTTTACTGCCAGCAGGGGCTTAGTGTAATATTGATTTAACATTTCCAAATAATGGCAGTAATTTTGGTAAAGGGTTTTGCTCTTTTGGAATAAACTAAAATTGGTTAGATTTATTTTAAGTGAGGCATAAATCATGGCATTGAAGTAAATCAGACTGTGTATCTTAGATGTGGATCTGTGATTGGCATTTGGTTCCTTAGTGGCATGGATCTGAATCTGCTGAATCCTTTTCCTTTAAATTTTCTGTCTTCAAACTTGTAACTCTTCAGGAAACACTGATTCTAACATTTGCTGAAATTCAGAAAAGTAACTGAGTGTCACTCAGATGGAAGAATGTATTTTTTTAATTGGGAAAACATCCCTTATTTCAGTTAGGAGGCTTAAGCAAGAGAATTTTTTTTTGTACGGAAATTACCTGGTCACATTGTAGAACCTACAACTTCCTATTTTCTTTTCAAAATGGTTTATTTCAATGTCGTAATGTTCTTTTGTTGTTAACCTAGCTATTTACAAAAGTACAGGAGTCGGTGGACTCTAGATTGTGCTATGATTTGTCAGTAGTTCAGTCATCACAATTGACCCATGCATCTTGTAATACTTAGAGAAAACACGTCGAGCTCTGTTCTTGGAACAGATAAATATAGAACTGCTATTGTGAATATTCTTGTAGTGACGTACTTAATCTAGAAAGCTAACAATTCTTTTATTTGCTTTTAGGGTTTGAAAGTATTCTAGAAGGCCTGTTTGGACCTGGATTATTAAAAGATCTCAGTTTGTTTAAAGGTATTCAATCTCTATGTTTGTATCTTGTTCTGCATTTCTAATGACAGAAGCAGCCCTAGCTCTGCCTCTAGAAAATGTGTGTTACCGTGGTGATTTGTGCTTTTTTCCCCCTCCCCCAGGCAGTGCTCACAGTTAGTTTCATATTGGCTAAAATTACTAATGAGTGTGCGTTCATCTTTATGTAGCTGGGAGTGTATTTGGCAGGGCTCAGAAAAACAGATTTGTTGTGCATAGATAAAATGTATACAGTTTGGTAATTTGGGGGTTTAGAAAAATGGCTGAAATGAAGCCTGCATCCTTAGAATGTAGGCGAGAATGTTGTGAAACAGGTATTTAATTCGGCATTTCTCTTACGGCTCCAGTTGTGTCGCAGTTTATGAATATGAAGTAATTTGCTATTCCTCTGATTTACAGACTGTGAGCCTGAAGGTGTTTCTGATTGGTCTTTTGATGAAAATTGTCTTTTCTGCTGCCTGAGAAGAGAAAAAGTGAAGGTAACAATGCAGATGTGTGAAGCTAGTAGTTGTAGGGGAGGGACAAAGGGAGGGAGTTTGCTGCTACTAGTTAACTGAACATAGAAAATCTGCAACCTCCTACCCTTTTCCCCTCCTTTGGAAAAAGGCTTTCTGAATTAAAATATAATACAAGTTAATGAAGAGACTTGCTTCTTCTCTGCAACTTTTTCTTTGTAGTATGTGATGCAGATTTTTTTTTCTATGCAGTGGCTCTTTCTGTTCGGTGTTTTTTGTTTGGTTTGGTTGAGTTCTTTGTAAGAGATCTTGTTGGGATCATGAAACACTTCCCAAGGGAGGCAAACTGTGACTTGTGCATGTTTGCTACAGTCAGATGCTGGGCTTATCTTCAGTATGGAAATGTGGTCCTTTTTAACAACCTAGAGTCTTGTTCTGTATCTTGGAATCTCTTTCCCTGTGGGCCATACCCTTTTATTGAAGGGCTCATATATATGGTAGATTTTGTACTCTGCTTGTTTACAACCAAGTCAGAGCCTAAATGTGGACAAGTCAGCTTTGCCGACATAATAAACTTGCAGTTTGTTTTCTTAATGAGGTTATAGCTACATATGAAACAAAGGCTACTGTGCTATATATGATGGTTGCTCAGTCCATGTGTTTAAATAATGATTGTTCTATAGCATGAGAAGGAAGGCTCATCTGTCTTGACAAAACTTCATTTGCTGTAACTCTTTTACTACTATTTCTTCCTGCACAATGTAAAATAACATGCAGAGAGGAACTCTATCAACTTAGAAATGAAACAAAAGCACCCTTCCCTATGCAGCAGCTAACATGTATGGCTGCATGGCTTGTTCATTAGGAAGTACCTTGTTTACACAGGTAATTGTGCCAGATTATGCTCATTTTTGTTAAGGCTTAGGAACGCTTGCATTTAGAACAGATATAAGGCACAATATTGTCTTTCATTGAGACTGATGGCAGGTAAGCTGTATATATGCTTGTGCTGTAAGGAGTTCAGTCTTGTTTGACTTAAGTCATCTCCCAAAAAGACAAAATTCAGTGTTTAGCACAATTCTAGTTAAGCCATTGAATTGATTCAGAAATTAATTTTGTGGTGCGTAGATTCTCAGACTGGTCATAGTCTGGGAGAATCTAACACTGTATGGGTAGATCTTCAAAAAGACTATTTACATCTCAATCATCCTCATAGGTCTACAATAAATGAAATACAGCTCCTGAAAATTGGTGATTGTTAGGTGAAGACAAAAACTAAGAACACAAACATCCACTGCATAGTGTGCTGATTAGGCATGGTTGTCTTGTCCTTTTCAAGCTTCCACACAGCCTTTACTCAGAAGCTGATATGTCACTATTTATATTTTCATGTACTTTGTTAGCCTTTCTTTCTAGTTTCACATATTAAAGCATAGCCCATGATTGTGAGTAATACTGAAAAACTGATGATGTATTCCTTGTGTTAGCAGTAGGTATCATTTACAGTAAGGTTCCTTGCATGGTTTCTCATTGTACTGTGTGGTGGCTTTTAAATGGGTGAAAGAAAAGATGCAGATGTGGTCACATCTGGTGTGCTCCGATATGTTGGTATCAGGGGTCTATGGAGATTTTAGAATTGTGTACAACTTGACACAGAATGCAGCAGGGGCATGCGGCATCGCTAGGCAAATGCCCTAAGAGAAGGAGAAGGAGTTTATAAGCTCTAAACAGGCTGGAGAGAAATGTGAGTTAAGAAAGGCTGTGGTAGCTTCAGTGAGCCATTACGGGTTTGGGTAGAATAATTTTTATAAATAAAATACAAGCAATCTCTGCCACTTTACATTTCAGTGGCCAAAAATACCTGTCTAAACCATTTTCCTTACAGCTGGTTGATAAACAGGGACAGCAAAGAGAGCTTTGTACACATACTTGTTCGCTGCATGGCCAGGGATCACTGGATGTTTGGAGGAGTGGGGAAGGAGGGTGAACCAGTCCATTCAAATCAGACTTGTGACTTTTCTGTTAATCCTGGTGATTCTCCTCATGTTTGGCACAGGACTTCTTTGGAGTATGTAGGATTCGGGGTAGGGGGGGATTGGTGCGGTTTTGTTGATTTGGTTTGGTTTTGTTTTTTGTTTTTTTTTTTCCTTCCTGCTCCCCAGCTTCTAGATCAGCTCTGTTGGGTTGGGGTTTTGGGGTTTTGGTTTTTTTTTTGTTTCTTTTGCCTTTTTTTTTTTTAATTTTATTTTTGAGGGAAGAATATGGCTCCTTTTAGACCTGGTGAGTTCTTGTATGTCAGCTGAAAGAGGTGGTAGAGTGGGGATGCCTCCTTTCCTCTGTGGGTATGCCAAATGGCTGCACTGCTGACCATAGTTGATGTCATTAGCTTGCAATACAGACTTAAATATGATTCTTTTATGGGAGCTTTCAAATAGTATGGATTTTACAACATCATAATTTGAATTAAGACATCAGAGACTTATTTGTAACAAAAAAGTTTGTAACTTCATTTGGTATTTAGGCAAATGATGGACAGTCTTCAGCTGATGGACTGAACTAAATTAGAAATGGTACTAATTTATTTGAAATCTCTTCCATTCAACATCTGTAATGATATCTTTAACTCCCCTTCTTTTTAGGGAGTTGCAGGCTCAGTCTTCTGCAACTGCTGAAACTTGTATGTTCTGTAAAGTGGTAGCAGTTGTGCTTTCTGTGGCACATCCTCTGTTCTGCTTTTTTTATTGTTGATCTGCATCCTCTTACCTTTTTAGGAAAAGAACTGGGCAGGATGGGACGATTTGGGTTTGTGCTTGTATACTGGTGAGTTACAGAAATAAAAGGTGTGTAATTGATGTTGTAGCTGGGAGCAAGGCGGTCACAAACTACATACTACAACAGTGAGTAGCTATGGCTGGCCTTTTTTCCCAATGAATACATCTCTACCAATACCTCCTTTTGGATCAGTGGAATAATTAATCAGTGTACTTGATTTTTTACCCTTGAGTGACATGTAGGTACCTGGTCTGACAAGTTCAAAATGAATAAAAATCTTCAGGACTTTTTTCTGTGTTTCATTTGGCTTAAAGAATTACCTGTAACTTAGGAGACCAGTGGTTGTGCTTAAGGAGAATTGAGTTCTGGACTGCAGGATGAGAATTGGAGGCCAAGATTAGTTTATTGGCAGAGCTGTTCAAGGGAAAAAAAATCTATGCTTGCTCTCCCACCCATTTCGGTGATGTTGGGTTTTGCTTTTATAAGCAATCAGATTCAATTACATGCATTCTTCAAAGGATAGAGAAGCATCTGCTGAAGTATTCTGAAAAGATTAATTTATTTGTAGCAGTAGTTCTACTTGCAAGTACTGAGCCAATGCATGGATTTTTTGCCAGTCAAAATACAAGACAGTTTTTGATAGAGAAATGGACTTGAATGTCTTCATTTGAAAGGGATAATAAAATACAGACAAAGTGGGGAGCTAAAATCTTCCCAGACATTTTTTCCCAAATCCAAAGGGTTATGTGCAATAATGTAAAGCTTTTAGAAATGGGAATTTTTTTATTCCATCATATAATGCAGAATACACAATTGTTTCAGTATGGTATGATCAGAGAGGATAACTATTTACCTAAGGAGCTGCTACCAGGTGTACCTGGTATGTACCTGGTGTACCTGCTATGCAGGTGCCTGTGTGCAGAAATGCATGGGTATATCGGGCATGAAAGACAAAAAAGACAAAGTTAGCAGCTCTAGCTGCCGCCTCATAGTGAGAGGAAGTAGATCAGGTTCTGTGGGACCAAACCTGGTGAGTTCTCACTTGGATAATCTGCAAATGTGATAATTCTCAATTCCTTGTGGGCTTTGTCCTTCACAGGGAAGATTCAAGATAATATGGTTTGCAAGGTGGTTGGATTTTTTTGAGGAGTGGTGGTGTTTGTTTTGGTTTGGGTTTTGGGGGTTGGTGGTTTTGGGGTTGTTTTTTTGTTTTTTTTTTTTTTTTTTAAGCTTGTGGTAGAGAAGACCCATCAATTGACTCAAATGGAACTTTAAGTGTACTTGACTTATCTCTTTTTAGTTATGGTTCTCAATTTTTCAGTGTGTCTTGTTAAATAAACTGGCAGAGCTGTCATTACAGAAGAAGTCTGTGGCTCCGTATAGAACGTTTGTACCAAATGTAGTTGGAGCTCAAGCCTAGTTTAAGATTCATTTTTTTAAAAAAGATGCAGATAGGTAAGGTCAGAAGAAAGCACCAGTAATAAGAGGGGAAATTGGAAAAAGAATCCTTGAAGAGGATTCAGTTGAGTATATTAATTTGGAAAAGAAAACACCATTGTCTAAAGCTACATAAAGGAATTCATACATGGGGGGGATGACACGACTAATCTCATTAGTTGGTGAGAGCAGAACAAGAAGGATAATACTCCTAAGCACACTAATTATTTTGTAGATATATTTAAGCTACAAAAATAGAAAGAGAAAATGACTTCTAGGAGCATGTTCTGGAGTTTCATGCTGTTGATGACAGAAGGTTTAGTCTGATCTTCGAAGTACCATAAAATACCTGGGCTTCAGTGTAAGGACCTCTAACAATTCTTTCAACTGTGAAGAAGTGTGGTAGGGTACAGCATGTGAAGGAGTAATTTTAAAATTCAAAGTCACTCTGATATTATTTGGATATTTTTAAAAGCTTGTAAGTAATTGGCTTTACACAAACATCTAAAAGTTAATATCATGCCATTACTTCATTATGATTAGTCACAATAACAGCCTCTGAACCTGGTGTCCTTTCACTGTGGAGGAACACAAACAATAAGTAGTAAGCTATGGTAAGCGTCTGAATAATTCCAAGGAGACGCTATCACTATTATTTAAAACGTTAACTCAGAATAATTGAAGATGGCAAAGGAAATATCTGAAAATTAGTTGAAGTTACAGAACTCTTAGGATTTTTCATGGCTTTAGAATGTGTTTAAACTGTGTACAAAGTGTGCTGGAAGATGCTCTAAAACATTTTTAATGGATTTCAGCACTTTAAAAAACTCAAGCATTTAGACTGTCAATTTTGTATTGGGTAGTTTTAAAATAATTTGATACGGAGGCTAAAAACCTGAAGAGGCTGTTTGTGATAATCTCCAGCTGTGTTTAGTAGTAATGCAGGGTTACAGTTTTGCTTGTGCATAAATGTGAAGAATGTAAGCATGTTGTATTTCCACTGTTTTGTTTTTTCTCTCCCCCTACTGTAGGCAATAAATGATATTCAGCTATGGATCAGTCAAGTTAAATTTATTTTGAATTTGATAAATCTGACATCAGTCATCTTAATAAGGAAATAATACTGTTTCTTACTACAAAAGTATGTATGTTCAGTAAGTGAAGGATGTCTTAAAACTAATTAAACTCTCTGAATTTTTAGTTGATGCCAAGCTGGGAACAGTTCTAGGTGCTTTAAAGGGCACACTCAGAATTGAAAATTATCTTGATACATTTGAGAAACAGGACAGACAAGCTTGTTTTGTCAAGTCACACATGTCTGAAAAATGATAGTATTGTAAAAGTAGTAAACTATTTTTGGTGCTATATCAAGAGAGGCATTTGTCTTAATACCTCGAGAGGAAATTTCTTCTTTTATCTAAATAGTGGTGAAGCCTCAGATGGGTGTGGCACTTTGAGAGTCGTTAACAAACTGAATAGCATTAAAATGAAAGGACAAGAATGACTTGGTCTTGAAGGTAGAAGGAAAGAAGACAATCACTGGTGCCTTTAAGGCTTGTCTACAGGAAATAGATTATTTTCCTTTGCACCTTCTAAGAGTTAAAAAGACTGTACAATCTTAAGAAGAATGAAGTGTTGGAGAAGACAATCTAGGGATGCTGAAACATTCCGTTCTTACTCACTGTTCCTGATCTTGCCTTGGGATGGGAGGCTGGATTGTATCTCTAGGGTCCATGGGTTGGCCGGTCAGCCATGGGTGGTCTATGGGAAGCCTTCCTCCCTTTTTTCCATGAAGTTGAATAGGAATTATCTCACACTATTCTAGTTTGTGGGCACTTCCCATTCCATCTACATGCAGCCTGTACCTTAAACATGAAGCTGCTGTTGCCACATCTGTACAAAAGCAGCCTGCATCATACCTTTCCCTTCATGTTAGCAGTTTAGCATTTAGAATTGCTGTATCAACATTTCCTACAAGGAGGGTCTCGATGAGGATCCAGCACTAGTGCTGACAAGGCCGGGCTGTCCAGGATTAGGTGGTCTCTCAAGGTCATGCATTGACCTTGCATTTTGAAAACTTGAGCTTTCAATTTCTAAGGTTCTTTGACTTAATTATATAGTTATGCTCTGTATCTTCATGTACAGAAAGAGCTTTTTCACTGATGGTATTTCAGGGGTGCTCTGGGGCATGGTTCCCACCTAAAGAGAAGCACAAAGAGAATAGAATGAATGCTGTGTTATAAATAATATGTAAAAGTAAGTGGTTGCATTTTTCCAGGGTATTTGTAACCGACAATGCTGTCTAAATATTAATAGGTTTTTCTTCTTCCTACTACCTGCATGTTGGTAGAGAAAACTTTGATGTGATTTGGGACTGTAGAGTGTGAGGATAAAACTGAAGATAGTGGATCCAAATAACAGTTATTGGGACGAAATGGTAGAAAACGTAAAAAAAAAAAAAAAACCAAAACCAAACAAACCACCAAACAAAAAAACCAACAACCACCTCCCACCCCCCCAAAAAACCAAAACCAAACCAACCACTTTTGGAAGTTGAGTCCAAATAGCAATCACAATCAAATATTTAGAGTAGAAACTTGAAGTTTCCTTTTAGGGGTGAACCAGCTGCAAAGGCTGCTGGAATAATTGTGACTCAATGATAATAAATAAATAATTTTCTAAATATTTATTTGTATTGGGTAGTTTTAAAATAATTTGATATGGAGGCTAAAAAAAAAAAGGCAATAAACAGAAATCTTTCCAGTATATTTAGTCTCCTGTAGTCAGTGCTGTACTGCAGATGCCAGAAAAGAGCTGAAGATTTTTTTTTTTTCTATACACGAGGTTAAATCTGACTCTTTCATATAACTGTGTTTCTTTACATTTTGATGTCTTATCATGGACACTGATAAAAGCCATACGTGTATGAGAGACATGCTCCTTAGTTTGAGGGGTAAGAACTAAGCACTGTCATTGCCTTGCTAGTCCCCTCTTCTCCTGAATGCAGATCAAATGATCCTTTATTCAGCCATTCACCAGTGTAAGCCACTTAGGAGGTTTTTTTCTGGCTGATCCCTTTTTCTTCATTCCTTCTCTATGTAGAAAATGTTCAGCTGTAGTTAGCTGAGGTAGATTGAATTGTACACTTTATACATTACCTTTATATAAATAAAATACACTTGTTTATGGTGAGGCATGCTGCCGCTGAACTGGGTTTTCACCAAGTTGCTAGGCTAGTACTTAATATGTGTTGTCTTAGTTGCAAAAAGTACTAGAAAGATTTGAAATGCATTGTGTTGTGCAAGGGTTATTTTTATTTTAGGCTTCTTCCAGATCTACAGTCTGTCACAGGGCAGAGTATCAGATCAGGTTGAAGGGGTAATGTTTCTTTCAATCCTGAATTCTCTGTTTGTCCTTTGAATTAAAAGACAGTTTTTTTTTGCAACGGCTTGTGGGACTTTAGCCAGAGGATGCTAATTAATTCTAATGGATCTTATCTAGCCAAATCTCTGTGCATCAGTTTGCAGAGATTCCTTTTAACATAAAACTTAAAGCAATTTGTCTGTAAATGCTTAGATGTGCCAGTGATTGTTCCAACACTTCTGTATGCCTAGATTACTTCTGTTATTAGTTAATTTACACAAATGTCTGTTTTTTACACAAACTGATAAGATGAGTTTACAATTATCCTGATAATGCCTAGAAGATAACGGAGCTTGACTCAGAATGGATGTCAATAACTAGGACAGATCCTGCATTAAACTTTGTCAGATGCCGAAACACCGTTTCAAAAAGAGAATGCAAGTATGTTCTATGAAGTCTCACCTGAAGAGTAACTCTTATAAAATAACGGGCTTATTCCCCACAGATATTTTTATTGTGAAATCCTGTACAGATACTTCATGTATTTAAAGTATCGTAAAAGTACACCTGCATTTTCAGCGTGTTTGTAAAATGCCAGTGAACTGTGGGAGCGTTACTGGTTACTGGCACAGGACTACCTGGCACAGAGGTGAACGCTTTTATTATAGTTAACCCATGAGTTCAAATTTGTGTTCTTCAAGACTATCTCAAAATCGCTAATCTTTCCTACGAGACCCAGCAGGTCTGAGGGCAAGCCTGGAATCTGTCTGGTATGGAAAAAAGCATCAGGCACTTTGTGAGGTCTTTACTTCTGAGTACTCTTACCTTTGCAGCAAATGTGGTGTTTTACTTGCCTGTCACCTCTGTCATCGCATGCTCCTCATCCTTTGATTTAGCATAAAATACTGGTTTGTTTCTACACCCTGTCTGAGATAGTATCCCCCTTTACTTTTCACAGAGAACTTTTGGAAGCTGTTAATTTACAGATCTGAAGGTGAGAGCCCATGTTGTTCAGGCCAGAGTCCACAGCATTTCATATTATTACTCTGCACGTAGTTCATATGACTGCTGTGTTCATTAATTTACCGTGGGCTGGTTATGTAACCTTGCTTCATTAAACCTCTTGAAGTTGAGATGGTACAAGCTTAAGAATGACAACTTCTTTTCATTTATTGTGAATTATAAATGAATTGCCAGTTCTTTCCTTCCCTTCTAGTCCTATGAGGATATGAACCTGAAATCAACTTGTACAGTAGAGGCCGAAAAACCAGATGTAGCCTAGATATTATGGTAACTGATACTTTGTAAAGGTTAACAAAACAAAACACTCCCTAAACACAAAGAGTGGTTGTGTATGCATTCCTG